GATAATACGTGTCTCATTTGTAGAATAAAAATCAAATTATAAGGCACGTAAACATCGACTTTACAGGACTAAAAAGATAGGATAATCCTACACAAAATATCCACGCAGCCCCTCTCCTTCAACACCACCGAAGCAGCCACCAAAGGGAAAGAAGAAAGATCACCTCTTCACCCAAACTTGATGCGGCTCCATCACTGATCGGCAGCTTTACGGACCTTGAAAGTAGTTTGCCAGAAACTAAACCATTGTCGTTGAAAGAATCAGACCGGGGCAAAATGTCCCCGGACACACCATCGAACTTCAGATCTGACACCCTCACACGATGACGACATCGGAGGAGGAAGCCAGAACTGTCAGCCTCCAACCACAAACCCAGCACAAGATGCACCAACTTCTAGCTATCACTTGCGTCGACAACCGTTTGCGTCTATTCATGGACAACAAAACCTCCCTGCTCCACCATGACAATTTTATCTCTTGCAATGCAATCAAGAATCAACAATTGGCACCACTGGGCACCATGGTATAAGCAAAATCCTTCTTTATTCATCCCCTATAGCGTCTGGGTTCAAGATATATTTCGTATGAGGTGAGTAGTAATCGTATTGAGAGGCATTGGGGAAAATGTAGCTACTATCATTAGCCCTTCATGTGGAAAAACAAAGGTCGACATTGACTATCTGGCTACAGGCTACTCCTTGGGTTGGAAACAAGCTGAGCCAAGCTGGTTCATGGTGGCTCGTCTAAGCTTTCAAAGTTGGACTTGGAATCAGCTTGGCCAAAGCTCGACATTGAGACGATCTACTCGTGAGCCTAGCAACTCCCTCATGTTCTCAGCTTGTCTCTCTCTCTCTCTCTCTCTCTCTCTCATGCACCGGCACACGAGCCCTCCTTTCAATCTTGACCCCCACACTTGAGGCCCCGCATGCTAGAGCTATCATCGGCCCCCACGCCATCCATCTTTTCCTTCACCGGCCGCTGCTACAGTGCTACTCCGCCAGTCAGCACCGCTCCTTGCTCCTTAGCCATTGCCAATCCGCCGGTCACCACCACTCTTTCATATCCTAGCTAGATGGTTTGCCAACCACAGCTTACAAAAAACGAGAATAAAAAATCAAAAAGAAAGAAGAGAAAAAGCTGGGAGTTGGCGCCTACATAATAGGTAGCTTGCTTACCAAGTTGTCCTGGCAAGCTCCTACATTTCTCTTATCACTCGCCGACAAAGGCTTGCTCGTCTTCGTCATATTCCAAACACTTTCTCTAAGGCTTCATTTCATGGTTCCAGGGGGATCATATCATTCATATGTCCAAGCATTCTGAAGATTTGTGATACAGTCTCGAAGTTGCACTCACCATAAGTGTTATATGTTTAATGAAATGGATATTTTTATGGATGCAAAAAAGAAAGGTTTATGTTTAGCACTAGTCCTTTCATTTATCAATACCTTTGTCACTCTGAATTTTTTCATAAAATAATGAAGAGTAAAGGACGAGATGATTAGGGAAGCAATTTTGATTCAACTAGTCTATGGAAAATATGGTACTCTGTGCAGTGCATGCCAGGATCAGGAAAAGGTGGCAAGAATAATGTTTACTGGTATTTAAAAAGCAGATAAAGTTACATGACTTCCTTTTCATCTATTTTTTAAAGATTTTTTAAGCTAAATTGGCAGCATCTCTACCTTCAGATTATAGGTTAGGAAGATATATGTAAGAGTTCAAGAGAAAAAAAAGAGGGTTCACTCACCGTTAGGCGCTGACTGTACAACGACGAGAGAGATAAAATCTCTAGATTTGGGGCATCCAGAACAGAGTTGATCTAACCGACGACAAAGTCATGGTTGGTGATGGAGTTATGAAAAATACAGTGGTTTAATTTGTTCCAAATATGACCGGAAAATTTGGCACCGCAGTTGCATTTTTTTGGTTCTCACCAACGATGTTGCTCCACCGATCATTGATGGTTCCGAGGGCATTGATCTTTATGGAGCTTAAGTCAATGCACATTAGGCTGAGCTTAAACCATGTTTAGATGGAGAATGGGAGCTCAATGAAAAGATGCCCAACAGATTTTATAGATTGATTGCAAAGGGGGGATACTTCATTGTGGTCACATCCACATCCACGAGCACTTCTTTTCATGTGAAACTATATTTCTTTCTATCAACAAGGATTTATATGAATTTCTTCTTATCTAAAAAGCCCACTTAACTCAATTACTATTTTATTACTATGGTGATGATATCAATGGGATTAAAGAAGATTGAAAAGGGTGTTGTAGAGATAGGTTGGTTTTTTTCCTACATAAGTGATATATAGAGGTTTGGCTCCAAGGGTTGTGGATGCTCCAAGGACCCGTCATCTTTTATTGACATCAGTTTTTAGATAGCTAACCACGCGTGTCGTGCATTCTAAGGACGTACCTTCGGTTTTCTTACCTCTCAGTTTTTTTTTCATTCTGTGAGCGTGTCCCAATGCTCGTAAGGGAATCAATTGCTTCATGGATGAAGGGGGTTGAGATCTCTACAAGCCAGTACATTAAGGTATGTACCCTACGGGCTGCATACCTTATAGCTAGATGTACACATGGCCATTATTCCCTAGCTCTATATATATCCCTCATGATACACCATCTCTTGCAATGCATACAACAGACACCATGGCCACGACTTTATAAAAAAAACAGGGTGTCCACCACAGTATGATCTACATTCTCCTTTCTTCTTCTCCCATGGTATATGAATTGAGTTTCCCATGTGAGATGAATGGTAATCGGATTGTGAGGTATTGGGAAAGATATTGCTTCCATCAAGAAGTCACTTCCTACAGAAAAGAGAAGAGCCCCGGCTTCCTGGCTAAATGTTGTTGCAACCAGCCTGAGGGTGCAATGATGCTTCCTTACAACATCCACAACCTATGGATTCATGAAACTATGTTTAACTCCTGACACAACCATTATTTTTGAGATGTTCAAATAGGTAGTGTAAGAAGCATCTAGTTCCTAAAGCAGTGGGCATGTTGGCAGCGATGTGTTAGCGCTAATGAAGCCATAGTTTAATTATTCATGAACTCATGATAAGAATAAGAATTGCTTAACTGTAATCATAGCCAGTCTCTCTAATTCAATTTGACAAATGAACAACAGTTACCCAGCAAGCAGTGTCATCTGAGTTAAACTCATTCCCTCAACACAAATGAAAGAAAACAATCAAACACTTAGATAGTTCAAGATGATGGCCTCACACGTGGGCTACAATTACCACAGTTACAGAACATAGTCTTGCAATGAGCACTCCGAAGTTTGCAATGTGAAAAAAGTCAACTGCAAATCAAAAGGTTCTGCCGAAAAAGGCTTTCGCCCCACTTTATATATAAAGCAATGACCACACCTTACAACCAACAGGACAACAGGAAAAGGAAAATACAATCAACACGGATACAAAGCACTACGGAACAGCTAACGAGCTCCGAAGAACCCAAAAGCACTTTGGAGCCCATGACGGTTACAGATCATGACATGGACACGCCCGCGACAAGGGAGCTAATCGTCGCTGGAGGAGAGCCATGCTTCGTCGCCTCCCAGGGCCACTCGGTTCACCATCCAAATATGCCGCTGAAGAGGGCACCCCCACCCTCTCGTCCTGGATCGAAGGAAGTCGACCCATCAGTAGGCAAAGCAGCTCACCCCCGAGCACCCTTGGACCAGTGAACCAGATGTCAAGGAGAGAGCGACCACCCTGGCAACCTCACCTCTGAATGAAACCCATACATCGCCACTGTCTCTGGCCAAGACCCAGAAGCCCACTGCAACTATCGAGCATGAACTCCACTGAAGAAACAAACCAACACCACGCCAAATCCAAGACCGCTGATCCCCCAAGAAGGCGCCTTCAAGAAGTACATGACGCTGACGCGCCATCGCCGCCCCAATCTAGAGATTGTAGGCTTTCGCCCGAGACCAGTAGGTGGAGGGCATCAAGTAAGACTCGATGTTGCCCACCAGAGGGACAACGACGCCACCGGCGTCGCCAACATCGTGCCCGGCATCGCCGGTCAAGGGTTTCCCCCGACCTAGTGCCCACACCCAGCGCCCCGCCATCAAACAGGACGCTAGGAGGACGCCCACATCTCGGCCGGTCAAGGAGGACAAGCTGCTGGTGAAAGCCTCCAACTTCAGATCGAGATCCATGGTCGCCACCGCCTCGCGCGCCGCCCAGCATGGCCAAGACCAGTGCATCGCAGCGCCAGCGCCACCCCCAGATATGGGAGCAGCCCCCTCTCTCGTGGCCACTGCCACCAGCGACACCCGCAGCCCTGAGGGAACTAGATCGACCTCGTCGGACCTGTCCCCTACCACCACCGCTGCAGAGCTGCACCACCGACTCCCAGCATAGCTACTTCAGAATCTGCGCGTCCCCGCCACCGGAGAGCTCGCCTGATCCAACTCCCCCACGGTCGGCTGACCCGCGTCAGCGGTATCCCGAGTAGGGGAGGGAGGAGAGAGGCCCCACCGCTGCCAGCGCCGCACGGGCTTTGCCCGGCGGACGCCCTCTGGCAGCGGCGAGGGGGATGAGGGGGCGGGGGAGGGAGCTGCCCGCCAGCGGCAGATCTGGATCCCCCGATACGCGCGCAGGGTGCGTCGCGGGAGCCACCGGGGCGGTCGCTGGACCTCCTCATCAAAAGGTTATACACATTCAAACAGTTTAATCAACTCTTATGTGACATATCAAGCGCATCAAACATCTGAACTCCTAACACATGTGAAAGAAAAACAACTGGGTATCAGTCGGTCCGTAAACATCAAACAAAGTTAGTGCCATACTCACTCACTGTAAAGCTCTAAAGATCATCGTCTTCCTTGTATTATTTTCTACTTGAGAGGAGCAACCATTTCAGTATTTCCCTGTCTATGCATGGGGTGCAGTGCATCAACATCACCCCCACTGTCATGGTGGCACTTGAGCAGACCACATAGAGAAGAGTAAAACATCCTGTCAAAGTCACTTGCCAACAAAGAAGTTTCTTCTAGTAATTCCTAGGCTCGAACAAGAAGGAGCATGTCCAGCCTTCTCGCCACGGATGTCCCGCTGGTGGGAGTTGGAATCTCTCCTTCCCTCAGGGCGCACTCTTTTGCCCACCTCATTCCTTTCTGCGTTTATGCCAGTGGTGCTCAAGATTGGCCCGCCAAAGAATACGTATTCCATGTGTACGTCAATATCTCAGACGGCTTCCCTAAAGGAATCGTTGATGAATTTTTTTTCACAGTGCAAGATTTCTACCATGGTTGCCTGGTACATCACTTGGATTTGCTAAGAAAATTAGCTTTCGCGGCTCGACGCAATGTCCTATTCTTATTTGTGTAGGCACCGAACCACTGACACGTACCGACTAGCCTCTTGATCCTAGTTCCTAGACAACAAAAGCTCGTTGGTTCTCCCAGGCATATTGTGTGGTTACTAGAACCATTGGGTTGGTTATTTGTGTAGTAGGACAACTGGCCTTGTAATCCCTAGTGCATGCATTTTAGGATGTGGAGCCGGATGAGGTGTGGCGCAAAATTGAGCATGAGGGGGAAGTGTACCTAGCTGGTTAAACAATTTATATTCTGTGTTGAAGTCTCGTAGTTATCCAGGATTGCAAATCCTGGTTATGAATGTAGAAGGAAGCATCCTCACTATGTGTTTCATCCCGTCCCATTCCCGTGTGCCTGTGTGGGTGGGGTGAGGGGTGAGGGCATCCCAATGCTCGTCAACAGAACAATTATAGCATTGTTTGCAAGTGGTTGAGAGCTGTATGAGTCAGGACATTTAAGTGTGTACTTTCATGATACATACTATCTAGGTCGGCCCACATGGCCATTACATCTCTCTATATATCTCACAGGATACATCATCTCTTGCAATGCATGTAACAATTACCACCCTATCACCATGGTATGATCTACATCCTCCTTTGTTCCTCTCCTATGGCATACGGATTCAAGATATGTTACCCATCTGAGGTGCATGGATTTGGTAACCAGATTGAGAGGCATAGGGGAAAATGTAGCTATTGTCACTAATCCACCATGTGAAAATAGAAAGCTAAATGTTGGTTGTCTGGCTTGAGGTTGTTGGTTGGGTTGGAAAGAATCCAAGCCGAGCCCGCTCATGGACCTGCCTCACCAGGCCCGTCTAAGCTTATGTGGCTGCCCTTGAACTTGGCTTGGTCATAGCTTGAGTTTGACTTAGATTGCATGCGAGCCCAAAAACTCCCTCCGCTTGCCTATGCAGCATTGAACAACCGCACGCGATACCTTGGGTACTAGATCTCCATATTGGTCATCTCCGCCCTAGCACCCGCCCTCACCTTCTCCATTTGCACCTCCGCTAGTCGCCGCCACTCTGTTGCTTGTAGCCACTCCGCCGCGGGCACCCGCGGTTCTTGCCACCATTGCTGAAAGTACCTCTGTTTTCTCTATGCGGCTGGACCGTGGGACAACTGAACCAGCAGTTTGGAGGTTGTACTCACCATATCATAATTGCTCTATCCTTACTCAAATATAAGTGTTTATGGATGCAAAAAGGGGGAGGTCTATACATAGTTCTATTAGTCATGTACCAAAAAGGCTTTCGCCCCGCTTTATATATACAACAACGATCAACAACAACCCAGTACAAACGCATGCCAACACAACACATGCACACACCCAAGGCAGGATACATATATAGTCGTTGAGCGCGGAAACACCACCCCTAGCACTACATGAGCAACCGGGATCCTCAACCGTGAACACACCAACGTGAAGAGATGAAGCCACATACGACGAACCGTAGGCTCCAAGGCGAGGTCTTTAGGAAGGTTACAATACCAAATTGCTGCCACCGCCCTACCCAAGGATCAGAGTTTCCCCTAGAGCAACACGACGGGCTATGAGAGTCGCGGCGATACCTTCAAGAAGGGAACAAGCTTCGCCGCTGCCGGTCCATCAAAAAATAGAATAGGTTTTCACCCCGGTCAATACTCACCGCCACTGAACTCCACACCCCAGCTGCCATGCCGCCCACACGGCCATGGCCACCGGGCAGCACCAAGCCACGGGCTCTGCCCAAGAGCATCATGCTACCAGCACCAGGGCCGCCGCCCTGGCATCCAAGACCTTAACACCACCTCACCTGAGGCCCGCCACTAACCCAGCCAAAGAGACAAGCAGAAAGGTTCCATCTTTCACACCCCTGGGCGGCCCTCGGCACCGAGACCACCAGGCCGGCCAAAACTAGCCTCCATCGACCTATCCTGCAGCACCGGACGCGAGACGAGGTCGGTCCTGCTGCCAAGTGTGAGATGAGGTTGGTCCTGCTGCCAGGCGGAAGACGAGCTCGGTCCTGCAGCACTAGGCGTGAGATGGGCGACGGAGCGCAGCTGGGAGAGGGCCAGCCCTGCGACAAAAGTAGCATCGGACGACAAGGAGCGGGATCGAAGGCCTCCACAGGCCACCTACGGACGAGCCGACGCAGGAAGAAGGCCGCCATCACAAGAGCCGGTCCACGATGACCGACGTCGAAGATGTCCAGCCGCCATCATGGAATGACCTAGCCCACTGCCATGGGCTGCCACCACGCCGTTTCAGGCCACATCCAAGCCTCAACCAGGAGACTGCGGCCACCACTCCGAGCCGCCCGTCGGTGCCCAGGGGCCAGATCTGGGCGGATCTGACCAGCAGCCTCGGAACCCCTGCAACAGTGGCCTGCACGCTGTCCTGGCCATGGCCAGAGAGACCCTGCTAAGTCGTTGCCCACCCACGCGCCGCCCACCGCCAAGAACCCTCCAGATCCTATCTAGCCTGGTCCATCGCCGCCACGCACTAGCCGCCGCCACCACCGCTGCCAAGCAGCCCTCCATGCCGAGGCTCGGCCGCCTACACCGCCATGCACCGCATAGCGACGCGCCCCTGCGCGAAGAAGGCGTCACGCGCCGCCCGGCCCCACACGAAGAGGAGAGGATGCCCCGCCGCCGCTGACCGAGCTTTGCCCGCCAGCGAGCTCCGGCGACGGCGAGACGAGAGGAGGGGAGGAGGGGGTTGAGGGGATGGCGGTTAGGGTTTCCCCCCGTCGCTCGTAGGAGCAATGTCGTGGGGGATGCCCCAAAGAATCTACTCTATTAGTCATTACATTCATCAACACTTCAGTTGCTCTGAAGTATGTGATAAAATAAATAAGAGTAAAAGACAAGATGTCTAAAGCAGCAATTTTGTTTCAACAAGTGCATGGAAAGGATCACGCTATGTGCAGTGCATATCAAGATCAGGAAAACGTGCCATGAACAATGTTTACTAGTACTAATCAAGGCGAAGTTACCTTGCTTCCTTTCATCTTAAACTAGCCTTCTTTCTCTCAAAGAGGATAAATTCTATGAATTTCTTCTTAACTACTTCAATTTAGTTACTTGGTTATTACTATTGTAATGATATCAATGGACTTTGTTTTTTAACACAACTCTGGTGGACTGTGGATACCATTGGTCTCCTAACCATCCAACTACAGGTTGGTTCACATGATATCAATGGAGTCGGGAAAGACTAAAAAGTGTGATTTAGAGCTAGCATTTTTTTCCTACATGATATATAGAGGTTTATCTCCAGGGGATGTAGATGCTCTATGGAACCGTCATCTATTGTTGATATCAGGTTTATGTGGCTAACCATGATTGTCATGTGATTCTAAGGAAGTATCATTAGGGTTTTTTCTTAACTCTCAGATTTTACTTTTTGCTTCTGTGAGGGCATTCCAATGCTCGTAACCGAATCAGTTGTATCATGGCTACATGCAGTTGAGGGCACTGCAAGCCAGGACACTCAGGTTTGTAACTAAGGGCTGCATAATTTATAGCTAGGTCTACACATGGTCATTGTTGGGGAACGTTGCAGAAAATAAAAAAAATCTACGATTTCACCAAGATCCATCTAGGAGTTCATCTAGCAACGAGTGATAGGAGTGCATCTACATACCTTTGTAGATCGCGAGCGGAAGCGTTCAAGAGAACGGGGTTGAGGGAGTCGTACTCGTCGTGATCCAAATCACCGATGACCAAGTGCCAAACGGACAGCACCTCCGCGTTCAACACACGTACGAAGCGGATGACGTCTCCTCCTTTTTGATCCAGCAAGGGGGAAGGAGAGGTTGATGAAGATCCAGCAGCACGATGGCGTGGTGGTGGATGCAGCAGGGTTCCGGCAGGGCTTCACCAAGCGACTACGGGAGGAGGAGGTGTAGCAAGGGGAGAGGGAGGCGCCAAGACTTCAGGTGCGGCTGCCCTCCCTCCCCCCTCTTTATATAGGGACCCCCAGGGGGGCGCCGGCCCTAGAGATGGGATCTCTAGGGGGGCGGCGGCCAAGGGGGTGGAGTGCCCCCCAAGGCAAGTGGAGGCGCCCCCTCCCCTAGGGTTCCCAACCCTAGGCGCAGAGGGGGGGCAGGAGGGGTGCACCAGCCCACCAGGGGCTGGTCCCCTCCCCACATCAGCCCACGGGGCCCTCCGGGATAGGTGGCCCCACCCGGTGGACCCCCGGGACCCTTCCGGTGGTCCCGGTACAATACCGGTGGACCCCAAAACTTTCCCAATGGCCGAGACTCGACTTCCCATATATAATTCTTTACCTCCGGACCATTTTGGAACTCCTCGTGACGTCTGGGATCTCATCCGGGACCCCGAACAACTTTCGGTTTACTGCATACTCATATTCATACAACCCTAGCGTCACCGAACCTTAAGTGTGTAGACCCTACGGGTTCGAGAGACACGCAGACATGACCGAGACGGCTCTCCGGTCAATAACCAACAGCGGGATATGGATACCCATGTTGGCTCCCACATGCTCCTCGATGATCTCATCGGATGAACCACGATGTCGAGGATTTAAGCAACCCCGTATACAATTCCCTTTATCAATCGGTACGTTACTTGCCCGAGATTCGATCGTCGGTATCCCAATACCTTGTTCAATCTCGTTACCGGCAAGTCACTTTACTCGTACCGCAATGCATGATCCCGTGACCAGACACTTGGCCACTTTGAGCTCATTATGATGATGCATTACCGAGTGGGCCCAGAGATACCTCTCCGTCATACGGAGTGACAAATCTCAGTCTCGATCCGTGTCAACCCAACAGACACTTTCAGAGATACCTGTAGTGCACCTTTATAATCACCCAGTTACGTTGTGACGTTT